AATAATTTTAGATTTGCACATTAACACACCATAAATCTTAGGCTTAGAAGACTTAAGACAAAAAATAGTATGAAGTTTAGAATTAGAACTTTTATTGAATAGAAATTAGACACAAGAAGGAAATATTCTTTCTTAAACCATTAAGAATATTAATATAACCCCATATAGTGCGTTTCAACACTTAAAATCTATCAGTTAAAGATAAAAAAAGAAGTTTCCAACCAGCAAGCCAATTTTGTAATTTATCCAACAACTTAGAACAACCAAAGCAAGCAATTTAAAAGAATTAATAGGCACGCCTAAATAATACTAAGATAAAGGTTTCAACAAGAAACCACTTATCTGACATAAATAATTTTGAAGATTAAGGTTAACAAACTTAGTTAAAAAAACTATAAATTTGTCTTTATTAATTATCAAATTGGTAGATTTATAGAAATTATAAAGAATACTATTGAGATTGTTAATGATAATAATACCAGTTCTACCAAAGACTAATAAAACATCAACATATATAATATGAGATATGTTGCAGTCATCAATCATGAATTATAAATACAAAAATTAGAATGATGATCTTCCATCAGGCAAGGAAAAGTATCAATGTCAATGGTAAAAAGTTTTAAAGAGGAAAATCTTATCTAATTCGATTAGAAGAACATTATTAATGAAAACATAAAAGTGAACATAGAGATACATTAATCCAATTAATGAAAATAATAGGAAAACCCAAACTAGTAAGTCTATCAAAAATAAATTGACATTAACATTACCAAAAGTTTTTATAATATAAATTTTAGCACAAAACTCTTTATTAGCATTAGCAGAATTGAATCCAAATAAAAGTTCATAAGCCAAAATAATATTATTAGAGATGTCACGACTGGATATCAAAACAGCTTGAGAATGATGAATAATACTCGGAAATAATATTTTAAGTTTATTTGCAATAAGCTTAGAAATAACTTTATAAACAATATTGCAAAAAAAAAAATCTAAACAACAACAACGACAACAAAACCTTAATCCCACTACGTGGGGTCGGCCTACATGAATCCTTTTTCTCCATTGGGTCCTTTTTACTGTCATATTTTCATTTAGTTCTAATAAATTAACATCATTTTTTTTTTATACAATGAGCCCAAATCTTCCTAGGTCTACCTCGGTCTTTCTTAACATAAGTCGAATCTAAAACATCTACTCTCCTAATCGGATCATTTGATGGTCGACGCTTAATGTGACCAAACCATCTAAGACGACTTTCTCTAATTTTGTCCTTCACAAGAGCTACACCAACCCTATCACGGATATATCGGATATATATCACGGATATATTCATTTCACATTTTGTCTCTAAGTGTAAAGCCACTCATCCACCTAATCATTCTCATCTCGACAACACTTAACTTAGTATTTCTTTTAAAGGCCAACATTCAATGCAATAGAGAATTGCAGGTCTCACCACCGTCTCATAAAATTTTCCTTTCAGTCTAAGTGGTAGTTTTCTATCACACAAAAAGGCCCGAAGCATTCCTCAACTTCAACCAACCAACTTGAATTCTACTATTAATATCCCCATCTATATCACCATTGCTTCGAACAACATACCCGAGATATCTAAATCGTTCACACCTTCTAATAATCTGATCACCCAAAGTTGCACTTCTGTCACTAGAGCTACTACTACTAAAATTACATTCCATGCATTCAGTTTTAGTTCTACTCAAATGAAGGCCTTTAGACTCCAATGTAGACCTCCATAATTCAAGTTTTTTCTCTTGTCTTATTCACGAGAAAAATTTCATCAGCAAAAAGCATACACCAAGGTACATCCTCCTGTAAAAGTTCAGTAAGACCACTATCAATGTCCAATAAGAACATCCATAACTAAGCAAAAGGATACGGGCTTAAAGCTGATCTCTGATGTAATCCAACAGAAATAAAAAAATATTTGGTCAATCCTCCTTCAGTTCGAACACAAGTAACAACTCTAGTATATATATCTTTAATGACTTGAATACAAAAAAAATATCTTTAATTAGAAAAAAAAATTGAAACTTATTATTCTTAGGAATGAGAGTAATTGTAGTGTGATCCATTCTAATATGAATATTAGAGTGAAAAAAATATTTAATAGCAGATATACAAACAGCTCCAATAAAATCCCAAGTATCTTTAAAAAATTTAGTAGAAAAATCATCAAGAACAGAAGTTTTATTGGACCCAATAAAAAAAAAGTATGCTTAATCTCATCATTAAGAAAATCTTTAATGAGATGCAAAAATTCATTATGATTTAAAAAATGATGAACAGGATAAAGAATCAAGTCAAAAACATATTTGGGAAGAGAGCAATTGAAAATTTCATCGAAATAAGAAATAGCTTCTCTAAAAATATCTTCTTGAGTATTAAAATATAAGTCATTAACATAGATCTCCTTAATAAAATTCCTGCGACAATTAACTTTAATTTTTTCATATAAAAACTTGACATCATCCTTAGAAAGTGAAGAGCATTTAACTCTTTATTTTAACCATTTGTATTCACAATATAAGACATTAGCTAAAAGATATTGAATAATAGCCGCCTCATCCAATAAAAAAAGTATAATTTGGGGTTTCTTCCTATTGAGACATGATCACAAATTGTTGATTCTTTAAAGAGTTAATCTTATTAAAAATAAAGTTAGTAGAGTTCCAAATACATTTTTTCAACGTGATTTTGATATTTTTCAACTTATTACAAAGAGCAAAGGGAGGGTCTCTCTTCACTTTAGAAGTGCAAGCAAAATGCACATAGAAGAAAAATTATGACAAGAATTCCAATAAATTTTATACATAAATCTACAGGAAAGTTTATGAGAATTACCGAAAGAAATAATAATATGGGAATGATCAGAAGTAAAAGGTTCCAAAATCTTAAAAAGAAGGGAACTTTTCTATCCAAAGATCATTGCAAAAAGCTTTATCGAATAAACTCCTTGTAGAAAAATATTTTTGTTGATTAAACCGACTAAAATAAAAACCATTATAAGGAAGATCAATAAGTCTAGAATTAAAAATTAAGTTGTTGAAATCAACAAGCTTACTGGGAATAGGAGAAGAACCACTAATTTTCTCTTTACTATTTCTAATACAATTAAAATTACCCAACACAATCCAGGGTTCATGAATGTTATTCATCAAAGAGGAAATAGAAGACCATATATCTTTTCAACAAACAACATTATTATCCACATACATAAAAATAACAATAAATCTAAAATTCGAACAAAAGGAAATAATACCATAAATAAATTGAGCATGAATATCCAACACAATAAAATTAATATTAGCAGAATTCCATTTAATTCAATTTCTACCACTATCAACCAAGTGAAAGTTATTAGCACTTTCTCAAAAGGAAAAAATTAAAATGTTTAGACAAAAAAAGATCAATAATGGTAGAAAGGAAAATTTTAGTTTCCAATAAACAGATAAGATCAAGATTCAAATCGTAACAAGATGTCCACAATCAAAGATGTGAGCCTCGTTGTTAAGACCCTAACATTCCAACTTATAAATTTAGTAAAATACATATAAACAAACAGAAATGATAAACCAAATTAATGAGAAACACCAGCTCCTTTAGCCCTACCTTTTCTAAGTTTAGGGGGTGAAGAGGGCGCAACATTATTAGCAACAGTAGATCTCACAGAATTAACCATAAGTCATGGCAGATTATCAACATAATTACCTCTTAACTTGATCAATATTCAAAGAAGGTCTTTCAGACTGAATATTTCTAAAAGTAATAATAGAAACATTAGGCACATTCAAAGAAGCGCCCATATTGGAATTAACAATAACGTTATCAGTAAAAGAATTCTAATGATTACATATACTAGATTCATTAAAAACAGTAATATAATGATTGGGACAATTACTACGCACATAAGCAGTTAAATTATCATTAACCGAAAAAACTTCACCTTCTTCCTCAATATCTGAATTAATCTCGGAAGTAATAACAGAAATATTAAGATCAGGAGCACATCACTAACATGTATAGAAACAGTTAAAACAGAACTATCAACAGAATGAGCAATAGGACAACATTATTCCTAAATCTAGAGATTTGAACAGAAATTTTCTGTTATTAATCCTATTATTACTCCCAAATGCAGGAACCACTTTAGCAGAAATTAAAGAAGCATCTTTTGGGCTATACTACGGCTCATGACTAAAAGAAGCACAAGTTTTACAAATATTAGTTTTCATTCATATAAAACTTGCTGAGATATATATTTTTCATTAAGATTAAGAGTAATAAACTGAGGAAAAAAAACCCAGATTTAATAATTATTGAAACAAGAAAAGAACCTTTTTTTTGTTAAAGAATCAACAACAAAGGAAATTCCCAATTTACTGGTTATTTTAGAAATTCCCGATTCAGACCAACAGCACAATGGTAAATTAGAAAAACTAACCCAAATCAAACAACTTTACTTTTTAAAACAAAAAAACCATGCAAAAAAATCACTAAACAAGCAGGTTTCTAAACTAAAAGCAAAATTAAAGATTAAAAATTATCTCAAACAATAACTTTTCAATAACAATAACAAGTGATTGAGTAATACGAATAAGAAAATTCTTTGAAGCGCAAGGAGGCCCGCTGCTTCAACAAATGAAGATGCATAGATGTGAAGGCCAAAATGCAGTTCATGAATAGAGATGCAGTTCACTTGATGGTAAGTGCCTAACAAAAAAAGTTGATAGCAAAAAAAAAAAAAAAAAGAATAGAGATGCATAGATGTGAAGGCCAAATACATACCTTAATATTGATTCAATTTGTGGAGCAATAAGCATTTTTTGGAGTTAAGAAAACATACAAATGTGTCGATTATGAATCAAGTGAGGAAAATTCATCCTAATTTGCATGAGGTGTAAATTAACTTGACAGCAATAATTATTCTAAACAAAAGCAGAGGGATAAAGAAAAAGAAAAAATTGCAAACTCACAGCCATATTCAGTAAACCAACAGCAGGATATAGAAAGAACAGTCTTTGCATCTTCCTTTTTTGCTTATCAGAACACTTATAGACATTGAGCATCATAGCCAGAACCTATGTCCAAGAAATAAAATGAATCAATGCTTCAACAAATACAAAAATATTAATAAAAAAGGTTGAAAAAATTAATTATGTTTCGACTTTAAAAATTTGTAAATCCATACAAAAAGAAACTTAGTTGTGATTAAACATGATTTAAACTTAGTTTTATAAATTTTAAAAGTTTCTTGTTTTATACAATGTGCATGTTTTAGCTTTTACTAATAGCCTTAAGTTGATGTATTAGTAATGCCCACTTTTTGCTTTATCATAATTTTAATTTTAAATAGTAAATTCAAAAAATGTTACAGTAAATATATTTGGGTTTGTAAACTATATTTTTTTGTGGAATTCTAATTTTCATATTTTAGTTTTATTCCCAATTTATTAGGTCATATTTTTTTTTCCTTCTTGAGTTATATTTTTTTTAGGCAAATTAAAAATATTTAATTAAACTTGTCTTAGGCATTCCTTATAATATAAAGAGAAGTGTTGTAATTTGATTATTGAAAAATAAAGAAAAACGATTTTCTCCACCTGTCAATATAGTATCAGAGCCTAGTTACAAGCCCTAGCTTTCTTTCCTTCACTGGAACCTCTCCCTGCATCCGCCAGTAAGGCCCTCCATCAGATCATCTCCCTGCTAAGGTTGTAAACTTACGTCTCCCTCTACGGCAAGAACAGTCGTCTGCTAGAGCTGCAGATCCTCTCTCAACCACAGTAATTAGCCAGCCTTCCAACCGTTCCTCCATATTCTTTTAACACCGACAACCCAGATATCAGCCGCACCCTGCTGTCTTCCTGCCTTCCCAGCCGATCCTTCCCAAGCAAATAGAGTAGCAATTCTTACGACAGAACAACCCTAAATTTCTTCCAACCCTAAAAGTAAATAGGGATTATGACAAAGTACAGCATGAAGATGTTTATCTCAACTCTGGAGGTTAGTTTGGAATCAGAGACCAAGCCGTTTGCCCAAACAGCCCCAAAACTTTCTCACTTTATCACAAACCATAAACTCAATGACCATAACTTATTTCGATCGTCTCAATCCGTGTTTATGTATATTTCTTGCAAAGGTAAAGAGGAACATCTCAAGAGAGAGGTCAGAGTTCCTAAGTTCGTTGATTCTAACCACGTTCATGAAGATCCAGGATCATATGGTCTTGTCTTGATTGATTAATTCTATGATCACAAAGATTGGAGAAATTTTCTTGCTTTGTAAGACAATAAAAGAGATTTGGAAAGCAGGTCATGAGACTTATTCTAGTATCAAAAACAGTCTAGAATTGTTTGAGACTGAGAAAAAACTGAATGAACTACGACAATACGAGTTAAGCGTGACTCAATACTTCAATATAGTTATAAAGTACTGATTACAATTAGATATGTATGAAATTTATGTATGGAAGTGTCATCAAAATGCTATGTTGTATAAAACAATAATGGAGAAGAAGAGAATAATTATGCTTCTATTGGGTCTAAATAAGAACTTATATGAGGTCAAAGAAATAATTATGGGAATAACACCTTTCCCTACCACTAGGGAGATGTTCCGCATACACGTGAGCCGGTTCTCCCTAGGCAAGCTGAAGAGATCATAACCGGCCCACAGACGGCTTGGCCTTTGCGACAGCAAAAAGCAGGGCGAACGGGGGGAGCCTTAGAAGAAGGAAAGGGAAGGGTGAGGTCCATGAGGGCCATAATCACCCATGCAAGGAGGAGAAATTAAGGGAGTTTGGAGGGGAGTTTGGAGGGAAATTAAGGGAGTTTGGAGGGAAAGTGGAAGTAAAGTTTTTGAATTGTTGGAACGGAATTCTATTAAGGGGAGAACCTAAGGTTTGTTTTCTTTATGCTTGTTCTTGTTTTGTTATTATTTTCTTTCTTTGTGTGGTGTTCTTAGCGATGTCTAGGGTGTGGGAGAGATGATCTACCTCTCGAAAAGTAAATCAACCTTGTATCTTGCTTGTTTTCTTTTGATTTTCATAAGAACAACCCTTATTTGTGTTTCTTCCACCTATCTGTTTTCGTTTCGTTGTGTTTTGTTCGCTGGTTTTGGTATCAAGGTGTATCAAATTGATATTGAAGCCTAGATCTTGACAGGATGACAGCAAAGAAAGTAGATGTGTTAGAAGGAGAGGTAGAGCAAATCAGATCAGAAACAAAAGACCGGATCACTACCATAGAGGAAAATCTTCTTCTATTGAAAATCAAATGAATGATGTATTTGAAGGCATAGGAGAAATGGAGAAGATGATGAAAAAGTTCATGGAGAAGCAATCCAAGGTTGTGTTGACTACTCCGGTTGCAAACCCTAACCAAGGGTTGATCAGAGAATCATTTGTTAAGATAAAAGGGAAGGAGATCGAGTGAGAAAACAATGATGAAGTCGACAACAACCTACTAGAGTGTCCCTCTAGAACTTCAAAAGGAGGGGGGGGGTGGGGAGTGGAGGCTTCCGATGGAGGGGGATGAGCGAGAATTGGAGAATGGATGGGTAAAGGGGCACAAAAGAGTATGAGGGAGGAAAGAGGTAATCGGGAGTGCGATATGCCTATGACCGCAGGAGGGAGTTTCACCCTAAATACATGGGGGGAAATTTCATAGAGAATAAGGTTGGGGTGGAGAGGCAAGGCTCAGAAAATTGAAGATGTCAATCTTCAAAGGTGAGGATGCACATGAATGGGTATATAGGGTGGAGCCATACTTTGCAATCAACAGTTTGACTGACTAAGAGAAGCTCATGGCAGCAGAATTATGCTACGAGGAGAAGATTTTCGGGTGGTTCCGGTGGATGGAGGCAAGGTATCTGATGCACTTATGGGAGAAATTTAAGGATTGCTTGTTGAAGACCTACACAAGCAATTTTATGCTTTGATGCAGGAGGGAACTATTATGGAATATCGGGAGAAGTTCGAGCTCTTGTCAGAAAGGTTGAGGGAGATTTTTGAGCAAGACTAGAAGGGAACTTCTTGAAAGACCTAAAGCCCGACATACGAGATGATGGAGGAAAAGAAACAGGAGAAGAAGACTAGTAAATGCGGTAGCACCGGAGGAATCTACAAGAGCCCCGTGACAACCACATTACTAAAGACCAGACAGTGTCATTTCAGAAAGAGATGCCGAAAGAGAAGAGTGCAGAACCCCAGCCTAGAGGTAACTTCAAGCGCCTCACAGATGCAAAAGTGTAGGAAAAAAAATCCAAATGATTGTATTACCGTTGTGACAAGAAATACACCTTAAGACATCGTTGCAAGGAGCGTGCTCTTTAGGTTTCTTTAGTTCAGGAAGAGGATACAAAGAGTGAGAAATCAGAAGAGAAAACGTCGAAGGAGCATATGCATTTGAATGTGGTGGAGGTGTCCCTCAATTTGGTGATGAGATTTATCCTAAATCACACCATGAAGGTGAGGGTATGAATTAGGGAACAACTTGTGGTGGCGTGGTGGATAGAATTTTATTTCAAATTAGATTGTGGAGAAGCTAGAATTAAAGATACTGACTACAAAGAGTTTCGACGTCATGATGGGAACAGAGAAGGTGGAAAAAAGTTGGGATATTTGCAAGGGTTGGTTCTGACACTACAGTGATTCCTTCCTTTAGATTTATGCAGCACATATGTGATTTAGGGTATGAAGTAGCTGCGAACATTGGGAGAGAGAAAGTGGATTGGAAATCATTGACAATGGAGTTCCATGGGGAGGGTGTTGAGAGGAGATGCAAGCTTATGCAAAACCATGGTTAAATCGATTCGGGGAACAAGACAGGGTTACTTGGTGGAGTTGCAGAGCATTGAGGAGATTTGAGATTCAGAGTTGGCCGAGTTTCCGAAAGGGATCCAACAGCTCCTACAGCAGTTTAAGAATGTCTTCCAGCAGCCAAGCGGGTTACCTCCTCCGAGGGAGCACGAGCACCCTATTACATTGAAGGAGGGTGTTTCTCCCATCAGAGTCAGATGTTATAGTTACCTCTAGATTCAGAGGAATGAGATAGAAGCTGACCCGAGAAATGCTCAAGGCGAGGATTATCAGGCATAGTGTGCGTCATTTTTCATTTGTCTTTTTGGTGAAGAAAATAAACGGTAGTTGGAGATTCTATGTGGACTACAGGACATTATATATAGAGACGACGTTAGAAAAGTTACATATTCTTGTGATGAGTTACTGGATGAACTTCATGGTGCAGTCATTTTCTCAAAATTGATCTTAAGTCAGGATACCACCAGATCAGGATGAACCCAGCGGATGTGCACAGGACAATGTCAAGACGCATGAAGGACATTATGAGTTCTTAGTGATGTCGTTCGGCCTCACCAACGTTCTGGGGATTTTTCAATTCCTCATGAAAAAGGTGTTTTAACCTTACCTTCAGAAATTTGTCTTAGTCTTCTTTGATGACATTTTTATATACAGTCGTCCAGAGACAGAGCATGTTGAGCACCTAAAGACAATCCTGGAGATATTGAGAGAGCACCAGTTGTATGTCAACTTGAAGAACTATTATTTTGCACAGTTGCAGGTGGATTACTAAGGGCATGTGGTGTCCAGAACGAGGGTAGCAGTGGATCGGTCCAAGATCGAGGCTATAATTAATTAGCCATTACCGAGGAGTTTGACGAAGTTGACAGGATTCTTTAGTCTCACCGGATACTAACGGAAGTTCGTGAGAGGATATGGCAAGATAACATGGTCGCTGACGAAGCAGCTGAAAAAGATAATTTCAAATTGGGGGGGTGGGGGGGGAGGGGGGGGCAGCAACCCATGCATTTGAGCATCTGAAGAGATGACTAGGGTTCCGGTACAGGCACTTCCAGATTTTAGTAAACTACCTTCATGGTGGAGACATATACGTCAGAGCACGGATTGGGAGCAATGCTCATGCAGGATCAACGATCTTATTGCTTGCTTCAACCAGGTTCTTATGACCAGAGTGAGGCTAAAGTCAGTATAGAACGAGACTTGATGGCAATTGTCCTGGCCATTCAGAAGTGACGGCCCAAACTGTTGGACAAATTTTTT